CGTCCATTTCGTCTTCAGCAATACGCCACCGTCGATCGAGCCAGGATCTCCCACCTTTTTTTAATAGGGTACTCTGAGTCAAAGGCGTTGTTATCGTTTCTTTCCAATTTAGCGTGGAAACTATTTCGGCACGATGGTGCGTTTCCTGCAATCCATTCCGTACATTCCGCTCTCATGTGCGGGCCACCACAGTGGCTGCAGATGTCAACTGTTTCTTTGCAAAATTTGCGGCCATAACCATAGCCCAGGCAGCGGGAGCATTGAACTAACAGTGTCTGGTCCGACACACGGACACGCTGCAAGTCGATATGTATCCGTTCTGCCACTGTCAATCGCTGCCATACCTGAGGTGAGACCTGCATGATAATGTGGTTCGCATGGGGATTCCTTGTCTTTCGTTGATATTTTATGACGAGTCTCTAGTCTTCGGATTTAACATCATCTATTAAGTGATTATTTTGATTCTTAAGTGCTAGTATAATATCCTCATCTGAGTTGTACGCTAGTACGTCCTTTAGAATAATGAGTGGGTCTTTATTTTTTACCTCCTCAACGTCCAGGCCTCCGCCCGAATTTTTAATTTTCTCTGTTACCGTCGCTAGCTCTTTTGATTTGCACCCAACAATGACCTTTTGACCTCTAGCTTTGCGTAGCCTTTCTATCTGTATGCCCTCACTCTTTGCATTTACTGCTGATCTTATTTTATTTATAACCACACCACTAGTATCTTTTACTTCGCCCGATGATACTACTACTGAATGCACCTGTTGAGGTATTTTAGGTGTTGCTGCTGCTTGTGCATATGATCGTCCCATATTGTTGTTCTGAGGAGTTACTTTAAGATGTTCAGTGAGTGCTATTGTATGTATTTTACATTTTGCTACTGACTTTGCATGATCCTGTAGATTTTCTATGAGCTCCTTCATGAGCTCGACTGGTGGTGGCGCTTCAGTTGAGGTATTTGTATTTAAGGTAATTGTATTAACCGAGTTTAAAAAACTAAAAGTTTTTATATTCTTATTAGTTCGTGATTATGTATTCGACGCGTATGTCGCTTGCTCTGCTGTGTTCCGGTTTAAGGGGTATAGAAAGCCAGTATAATTACAGGCTCTTCTGAAGTGCCAAGCTAACTTACAGTCCCTGTGATTCTAAGTGGCTACTGCAGTCCATGGACACCTGCAGCCAACTTTAATAAAATAAGGCTCCAGACATTTTTACATATACACAACTAATTCAGAAATCTGTCTTCTCACTATTCTGCATGTTTATGAATGTTTACTAATTAATCAAAAACTGAGAATAATCTCTGTTGCACTCTTAGATCATTCAACCAAGGATGAGTAACGCGCCTAATGCTACGAACAAAACAATCTGTCACATATGGTGCAGGGCAAGGAAACACTACATAGACAGTACAGCACACCTACTCGATAGAATTTTGTGTCATTATGGCACACACAAATATAAATCTCCAACATTTATATTTTACGCACAGATGTAGGTTAAACACATCAACATAGGAAAAGTTATGAGTATAAGACAGACGAATTAATTGCGATGCTACCATATTGATATTTTATATCGGTAGTTTAAAGAAGCATAAGCAAAAACAGTTGAACAATTAAAATCATTTGAACTCTTTAGTTTGGTCAGTGCAACAATTTTTTTTTTGGGTTCCTTATTAAAACGACAAGGAATCCTTATTGTTTCATCAAGTCCATCCGTCTGTCCGTCTGTCCGCGGCTTAGCGTAAAGACTATTGGTACTTTAAAGAGCTGTAATTTTGTATGGTTATACATGAACACCAGAAATAAAAAGGCTCTAAGTACCAAAACAAAAATTGGTGGAAGTGGGTTGCCTCAAAAAAAAACCCAAATTTTACAGGTATATGACATGAATAACACTTACAACATGTGTTAACAGTCATTGGTAAGTAAATTTGTTAATTGTAAAGCATTACAGAATAATTTACGACGTTTAATAGCCAAATATTGAAATTGGGATGAATCAAAGTGCATCTAGCAGATAGTACTTATGCGGGTGGGTTCCCAACCCCTTCTTCGATTACACAATTTTTTCCACCTCATTTTTAAGTGAGGGTTTGATGGTCTGATGGGAGGGTGAGGGAAGGGGAGCCATTCGATATTCATAAGTAACCTAACAAAAATGTTAAGATAAGTATTTAGATTTCTTAAAAAAAGGTTTTGACTTAGCCCGGGCTATCGATTTTCAAAATCTACACATTTTCCCCGCATAATACCAATTCCAAAAAAATCCCCAACCAACTTTAAATTCCCCGCAATTTGGGGAATTCCCCACATGTTGGCAACGCTGACATGTGTAAATTGCACAGCGCGAGGTGACACGAGTCGGCTGGGCGGCGGCAGCGCATGTGTGAAAGGGAAGGGTAGAGTAAGTAGTAATATCTAATGCATCGTTTGGTTGAGCTAGATAACAGAGTTCGGCGTCCACGCGAATATTGACCCTAGTCAGCTGATTTTAAATTACACTGCTGGTTTTATGTTAAAGTATTTTCATGATTTTTTTAATGGAATTATCGTTTCATTTAGCTGTACTAACATGACGGTGCATAAATAAAGTTAATAAAACGTTGTGAAAAATGATATATTTTCCTCGGGATCAATTTTCTTTCTGACCCATCATCAAAAGTATCGTTAGTATCTGTCTTCGTTTTCGGGAAAACACCCGGTATATCAATAACATGCGTGGAAATAAAATCTGCAAAAGCAATAAAAACATCAATAATCATGTATCTCTAAAGTAAATTCGAGTAATTTTGGTGCAACTTCTCAAATGTATGGGAGTTCATCCAATAAGTTTCTCAGGCTTTAGTCAAAATTACTTGAATTTGCCTTAAATAAACAAAAAGTTAAAGTTACAGAATATAAAGTACCAAAAATTAAAAAGTTAAAGTACCAATAGTCTTTACGCTAAGCCGCGGACAGACGGACAGACGGATGGACTTGATGAAACAATAAGGATTCCTTGTCGTTTTAATAAGGAACCCAAAAAAAAAATTGTTGCACTGACCAAACTAAAGAGTTCAAATGATTTTAATTGTTCAACTGTTTTTGCTTATGCTTGTTTAAACTACCGATATAAAATATCAATATGGTAGCATAGCAATTAATTCGTCTGTCTTATACTCATAACTTTTCCTATGTTGATGTGTTTAACCTACATCTGTGCGTAAAATATAAATGTTGGAGATTTATATTTGTGTGTGCCATAATGACACAAAATTCTATCGAGTAGGTGTGCTGTACTGTCTATGTAGTGTTTCCTTGCCCTGCACCATATGTGACAGATTGTTTTGTTCGTAGCATTAGGCGCGTTACTCATCCTTGGTTGAATGATCTAAGAGTGCAACAGAGATTATTCTCAGTTTTTAATTAATTAGTAAACAGAATAGTGAGAAGACAGATTTCTGAATTAGTTGTGTATATGTAAAAATGTCTGGAGCCTTATTTTATTAAAGTTGGCTGCAGGTGTCCATGGACTGCAGTAGCCACTTAGAATCACAGGGACTGTAAGTTAGCTTGGCACTTCAGTTTTTTAAAAAAAATTGTACGAACACTCACATATCAATATAATAAAAATAATATCAACTTATACAAAATTGTGGTCTTGTGTCTCGATTTTTTAAATAGGTGCCAAAATCTAGGCTAGACCATAACGATAACAGCAACAAGAATTCTAACTTTGCCACAAATATGATAACTGTATTGATTTTATTAATCACAGAGAGAATATAATCACACAGAGAGAATATGGCATTTGGGAAGACTTAACCATACACTTTAGTAATAAATAACCTTTTTCTCGTATTGGTATTCCATTAAGAAATAACTAAATACGAACTAAAAAGTAAATTTTCTTTCTTCTTTCAATATTTCTTAATGAAACGTTACCTCCCCACTAGAATTTTCTCCTGTATTGTGGGGGGCAGTCTTTAGTAAGGACTTGACTACTATCCCATCTGATGGTAAATGGTGACGCAGCTGAAGATGGCAAAGCGCGCTGACTCAGCTTAACAAAGCCTATTCCCTCTTGCCTTGAAGATATTATTTATGTTATATACCTACTTGTACTTAATATATATATATACATTGTGTATGTGTGTAGATTTTATAGACAATATCTGTCTGCCCTTTGTAATCCTTTTACTTAAGGTGTACAATTAAGAATAATTAGATAAACAAATATTACATCTTAGATATTATCTAATGTGGGTGCGTTCAATTCAACGAAAGATTATTACCACACATCTTTAATAAATATGTATTTGAAAATAGTATACGTTATTTTACATAAAGTGATCTCAACGTGACTCGTTCAGATAGTTACATCGATCGATCGATGTTCAAGATCCATGTAATTAAATCGATTCTTTAACCCTAAACATCATTGACATATGAGGAGTTTTGGCGGAAACTTGACCGGTGCGGCGCTGAGGACGGATTGCAGCTCCTGTATTAATGTTCATATTAAGGTTTTTAAATAGATTTTGATATTTTTGATATTATATAAAAGTTCTGCAATTTTGTGTTTTAAATGTCTGCGCATGTGAACTATTAGTGGAAACGGTGAAACAGGTGCTCCGATGGTGATGTGAATCTCAAGATAACATGTCTGTCTGCTTAGTCGCCTTGAGATGTTATCGAGAAATATCTGCTGACTCAAGTTGCCGTCAAAAGCTCCCAAAAACTACGCATCGTCATACTATGAAGAAATATACTTAATAGAATTATATTATCACTTGATACTGAGATAAATGAGGACATGTCTTAAAAAGTAAGCATCAAAGCCAAGAATTTTAATAAAAAAAAATTTGACATGTGTCAACTGTCAAATGCAAATTACAGATACTGATAACAGTGATTCAGTGAAGTAAATAAAATTAATATTTAATAAACAAAGCTTTCCTTCTAATAGTCTAATAATATATAGTCTAAATTTAATTTATAAATAAATAAAATATGATTACTAACTTTGATAAACTTTGCGGAGAATTAGAAAAACAAGAACTAGAGGTAACGTAACGTATCATAACCAAAATCATACTTAAATTATTATTACCGCTGCCTAATCCTTGTAAATCTATAGCTTTATTCAGCTGTTTATTATGAAAGTTATTTTTACAGGCCCCTAATGGAGTAGCTTTACCTTCCACATATGCTCAATTATTGGCTATTTATCTGTACCAAAATGACTTGTGAGTATCATTTTGCATAATATACAATTAAGTAAATACATAAGTTTATGAACCCTAAAATAAGAAAACAATTTAATTATTGCCGCCTTTACATGATCTGTGAACGAAAATATTGAATTGATGGCTCATAATGTTATGTAGTAGTAGTTACTTAAATTTTGTCTGGTCTGGTCACAGTCAGTTTACAAAAGTGTGATTTGGATGACACTTATGATTTCTTAATATTAAAGTCATCCTATCCTAACCCTGATAGAACTAAATTGATTTAAATTAATTGTTAAATGTATCAATATTAACCAAGTAATTATGCACAAATAAAAATAACACAATAGTTACAAGACTCAATTAAGATGATATAAATCACTGCATATGTACCAAATTGACTTTTGGTATATTGAAGTGCTGAAGTTTTTGTACAAAAGGTCTGTAATCGCTGTTGGAGTAGAGAACCAGAATATGAAACCAAACCAATCTAGAGAGGTGTAAGGCGTGGTGGCAATGTATCCCAAAATATGGCAAAATTCTTCACCCTTGCAATGGAAGTTTTCAGGCTGCTAGACTGGAAAGGATACATTATTAACATTAATGGTGAGCTCATCACTCAACTTCAATTTGCCAACAATACAGTCATTATGCCTATGGGATACAGGTGCTGGAAGACCTTAACACTATGCTCAAAGGCCTCAATAATCTCACCTGCACAATGGATAAGTCTAAAGTTGAACATAGACAAGACAAGAGGCGATGTGTAATTTCCATGTCACAACAATTTAGAGACTAAAATAAAATAAAAATACTTGTGTTGAGTATGAAGAAAAAAATTTATTTTGGAATAGAATTTGGTGTCTAGGTTGAAGGTTATTTTATCATCTATTGATCATCTTATTTTATCGTCAGCAACATGTGGTGATATAATCAATAGTTACTAAGAATTAATTTTTTTATTTTAATTCTAGATGCAATGCAAAATTTTTATGGAAAAGAATACCACAAAACATCACAAGCAGTAATCCTGAAATAGCAGCAATCTGGGCTATAGGTCAAAAACTTTGGAAAAAAGATCTTGCTGGAACTTATCAGACAATTGCAGCTTATACATGGACTGAACCAATTGCTAACATAATTAAGGCACTGGAAGGTAACTGATTTATTGTTGAAGTTATTGTTTGAAAATAAATTATTTAAAATAATTAACTAACTTCAAAAATGGCAAAGTTTATTAATTTAATTGTTATATTATTTTAATCATTTAATCCAATAATTATACACAACTTTGAAATCTAAGTAGCACAGTTATCAGAATGAGTTATCATTACATGAGTACTTTCACCCCAATACTGCTCCAGGGATGTGCTATTATCAAATTATGAATGTTTGTTAATATATGTAAATGTATGAATATCTTTATATATAAAAATTATGTGTCATGTTGTTTGTCCGCGATGAACTCTTAAACTACTGAACTGATTTCAATGAAATTTCACACACTCTGTGCAGTTTAGTCCAACTTGAGAGATAAGATAGTTTTTATCCTGATAAGTGACCACAATATTTTTTTATTGTGAATTTAAGAATTTTTTAATAGGACAAAGGTTTGTCGGTAGAACAACGTCTACCTGGCCAGCTAGTATATATATATATATATATATATATATACTAGCTGGCCAGGCAGACGACTGCCCTTTTCGACGACCCTTCATATAAAAAATCCTTAAATTCTTAATAAAAAAATATTGAGGGTCACTTATCAAGATAAAAACTATCCTATCTATCAAGTTGGACCAAAATGCACAGTGTGCAAAATTTCATTGAAAACAGTTCAGTAGTTTAGGAGCTCATCGCGGAAATGTGACATGTAATTTATGTATATATATATATATATATATATATATACCCGACGGTTTGACAAAAAATGAGATTGACTTCATTATGACGACCAGACGACAATTGTTCAGTGATGTCTCAGTGATCGCGAGGGTGAAAACCGGCAGCGATCACCGAATGGTTAGAGGCACACTGAACCTAAACGTTAAGTTGGAGAGGTCTCGTCTAGTGAAGTCAACGCTCCGTCCCCCTCGTGCTCTGTTCCAAAGTCCTGAAACCTTTCAGCTCGAGTTACAAAACCGTTTTCAGTGCCTAGAAGACTGCAATGAAGTGGACGATATAAATGACAAGCTCGTGGAAACTGTCCATGCGGTCGGAGCTAAGTTCTGCAAGACCCGCCGCAGAAGAACACAAAAACTCTCCGATCACACTCTTAATCTCATGGCTGTTAGACGGGAGATGAAGCTACATTCTTCAACAGACTTGACAGCATACAGGCATCTGAACAGACAGATCTCCAAATGCATGCGGCGGGACTTACGCAACTTCAATACAGCTCGTATTGAAGAAGCGATAGAGCGGAACCAAGGCTCCAAAGTCTTTGCCAGAGATCTGTCTGCCAGAAAGAGCCAACTGTCAAAGCTGAAGACGGAATGTGGCAGCATCGTTTCCGGGACACCTGAGATTTTGAGTGAGATTGAGAGGTTCTATGGGCAGCTGTACACGTCATCGTTGGAGCCACACGCAAGTGTGAGTAACGATCCAAGAGCGAGTCTCATCCGACACTATTCCGAAGATATCCCGGACGTCAGTCTGAGCGAGATTAGAATGGCTCTCCAGCACCTTAAAAACGGTAAGGCCCCAGGCGAGGATGGAATTACAGTGGAGCTTCTGAAAGCGGGTGGAAGACCGGTACTTGAAGTCCTTCAGAAGCTCTTTAATTCCGTCCTCCATGGTGGCATTACACCGGAGGCGTAGAGCAGAAGTGCGGTGGTCTTGTTCTTCAAGAAAGGTGACAACGCTCTCTTGAAGAACTACAGACCGATTTCTATTCTGAGCCGCGTCTACGTGCTGTTTTCGAGAGTCATTACGAATCGTCTCGCGCGCAGACTTGACGACTTCCAGCCTCCCGAACAAGCCGGTTTCCGAGGGCTTTAGCACCATAGACCACATACATACCCTTCGGCAAGTTGTACAGAAGTCCGAAGAGTACAATTTGCCACTATGTCTGGCGTATGTGGACTATGAGAAAGCCTTTGATTCCGTCGAAATTTGGGCGGTGCTGCAGTCCCTTCAGCGGTGCCAAATTAACTGTCGGTATATCGAAGTGTTGAAGTGCTTGTACAGTAGGGCTACGATGGCTATCCGAGTACAGAACCAGAGTACGAAACCTATCCAATTGCAGAGAGGTGTAAGACAGGGTGACGTCATATCCCCGAAACTCTTCACTGCTGCATTGGAAGACGTTTTCAAGCTTCTGGACTGGAAAGGATACGGTATCAACATCAATGGCGAGTACATTACTCACCTTCGATTTGCCGACGATATAGTCCTTAAGGCAGAATCGCTGGAGGGCCTAAGCACTATGCTCAATGACCTCAATAGTGTTTCCCAACGGATAGGTCTTAAGATGAACATGGACAAAACAAAGATTATGTTTAATGTCCATGTCACACCTATGCCGGTAGTTGTTGGGAGCACTAAGCTCGAATTTGTTGACGAGTATGTTTACCTGGGACAAATAGTCCGACTAGGTAAGTCCAACTTCGACCGAGAGGTCAATCGACGGATTCAACTCGGCTGGGCAGCGTTCGGGAAGCTACGACACATCTTCTCGTCAGACATACCTCAAAACCTTAAAACGAAATTGTTCAACCAGTGCGTGTTGCCAGTGATGACTTACGGAACTGAGACGTGGTCCTTCACTGCTGGCCGTATGAGGAAGCTCAAGGTCGCTCAGCGAGCTATGGAGAGGGCTATGCTCGGAGTTTCTCTGCGTGATAAACTTAGGAATGAGGATATCCGCAGTAGAACCAGAATAACCGACATAGCCCAACGAATTAGTAAGCTGAAGTGGCAGTGGGCCGGCCATATAGCTCGAAGAACCGACAACCGATGGGGAAGAAAGGTTCTCGAGTGGCAGCCTCGTACCGGTAGGCGAAGTGTAGGGCGTCCCCCCACGAGATGGAGTGACGACCTGGTAAGACATGCAGGAAGTCGATGGATGCAGGTGGCTCAGGACCGTGCTTTGTGGCATTCTTTGGGGGAGGCCTATGTTCAGCAGTGGACTTGTGAAGGGCTGTAATGATGATGATGATGATATATATATATATATAGATATATATATATATATATATATATATATATATATATATATATATATATATATATATATATATATATATATATATATATATAGTGTGCATATACTTACAATATCATATCATAATCTATTTTGTTACATATAATGTCTATTAATTTTAGTTTCTCTTTTTTTCTTTTTTTTTAATTGCTACACCTATGAAAAACTCTCACCACTCCATGGGTTGACTGGTAGAGAATGCCTTTAGGTATTAAGTCCCCACTTTGTATCTCTTTTTTTCTCTAAGGGGATGCAATAAAGATAAAAAAAATAAAGGACCTCATTTGCATTTAGAATGGAGATCCGGTCTTCACTGAAACTAATATTGTGGGGTTTTAACCGGTGAAAGTTGATATATGTATACTGTGAAATGAATTGAATATACTTGTATACTGGTATTTTATTCAATGATTTAGTCTTTGAATAAATTACCATAGACATAGTTACTATGACTTGCTTTTAGTGATACCATCTTAGGTTACTATGATAAATTAAATTAAATCTAAAGACAACCATATTACTTCAAGTTGAACACCTAAGTACACCCTTATAAGAACACTTAAGCACTTGAAACATGGGGAAAATAAAAATAACAAAATTGGATGAAATGAAACCAATAAGCATTAAAAAAATATTTATAGAATAAGGGTGACAAGAGAACACTCAGTCCACCTAATGGTAAGTGGATGCTGTGGCCCATAGACATCTATATCTATTCTCGATTAAGAATCAAAATGCAAATGTATTGTCACCCCTGAGAACTAAGATTAAATTCTTTGTTACCAGTAAAAAGGTCTCTGGTTGTCTACACTCACCTTACAAAGCAGCAGCATTAAGCTGCTATTTAAATATTTGTAGACTAGTCTCTGGGTTTGTGGCATTATAAAGCACATAACTGAGGTACATGCACCTCCAATATAATCGTCTTCTTGCATGCTTTATCAGGTTGTCACTAGTGTTGGACGCTAAGTTTACCATTACGACGGTCCCACTAAGAAAAGTATATTTTTAAAAAGCATCTATTTCCGGGTCATTAGCGTAAATGTTTAATTGATTGCATCACAGGGTCACGGGTTTGATTTCTGCTTGGAACAAATGTTCATATGGCCTGTAAATAATTGTTTCAGTTCCGAGTGTTTGTCAAGGTGCAGTTAATAATGTGGCTGTAAGTTTATTTTTTAAGAAAAACCAATTTTCACTTTACAGAGAAAGTACGAGAAAGAGCCTTTAATTTAATTGGACGCTCATACAGTTTTATTTCTCTGGATACAGTAATATCAATGACTGGTCTTAACAAGGAAGCAGCCCTTCATGTTTGTAAAGAACGCAAATGGGAGCTTGATGAGGATGGAACTACAATCAAACCAGTTCCTCCAGTGCAACCCGCACCATTGCATACTTCGAGCGAGGACCAGTTATTCAAACTAACAGAGTTTGTATCTTTCTTAGAAAACTGAGTAAGATTAATTAAAAATATATTCATTTATCAATAATATGTTTCATTTTATTGAATAAAATTGAAGTTTTTTACAAAACCCAAGACATAACGCAAACATGCATTCATACATAAACTCTCACCACACCCAGTACATGTATATGCTTGTCGGCTAAAGGGTACTGTCGGCGGTCTTTTGCTGACTTTGCCATCTACTTCTGCAGCATCATTCCCCCACCCCCCCCCCATACATGCCCTGCACATACTTTTTTACACAAACGGCAACAAGTATCACCGGTTCTGGTTGAAATTTACACTAAATTTGAAAGAATGTGGAATACACACAATTCATAGTACATCAGGGCTAAGAACGGACTTAAAATAATTATTGTTGAAACACACAGGATCATTTTGAAAATGTTTTATTTTCTTACATAAGTAGCAAAAAAATGTAAATTGTATAAGTAATTGGCAGTGTGATAATATACAGTAGGTATCTTAAAATTAAAACTTGGGTAGTAGGTATAATACTAAAATGATATATTATTAGTTATAAGTCGTCGCATTGTAAATTTTGATAAATATGAAAAATAACAAAATACTTATATCACAACCAATGCTAAGTTTTCAAAAAATTTACAATGAGTCTATAATATAAATAAGGAATCAATACTTGTAGTATTACAAAATGAGTATCTACAAATTATTAAGCTAATCTTTCCATTATCGTTCATTCTTTTCTCAAACAATTTGGCAACTAATATATTAAAAATTAAGTCTATTCTCTATTGGAATCTTCCCTGGAAAGTGACTTGATTTTGCCTCGGCTGCAACCTTATTGAGTTGACGTCATCTTCATCGTCTAGTGTTTTTTCGTAACCGCGGTTAATATGTCCTCCATTGGGTTCGGCAAATACATCCTTCACTGATATATTTGCCGTGGACGTACGGTGGCGGGGAACCACGCCGTGGTTATTATTTAGCTGAAAATATACAAGAATCAATAGTAACAAATAATGATGGTTTTACAGACGATATTTATTTTTTTAGCTTTTTGTTAATATTAATTATTAAAGTTGGAAAAGTACCATGCCAGTTACACCATATTCGTTGTTGGCTCCAAGTGTTTGCATTTGTGATTTCCTTCTTTCCGCCATCACAGAATTTCGTCTTGTCTCTAAAGCCTTCAAGGTTTCTCGGCGTAAAGTCATTTTGCGATTCAACACTGGTGTACCTATTGTTGAAGTTTAAATATTAGTTAAAAATAGAGATAGCGCTGGCAGAGCTAAATGAAACAGGACATTGGTAAGGTGATCAAACAACAGCAACTTCTTGATAACAAGCGAGCTTGTTACCAAGCGTGGCAACTATGTCAAATATATCCCTTATAATGCATTCCATTTAGGAGACCAATGTTCAGCAATTGACTTTCGATAGGCTGTAAGAAATTAATCCTAATATATAAAAAATAATGTTGTTTGTTCGTATTTAATGCGCTGCCATACCGTTCACCAGATTGCCGTCAAACTTTGTCAACTTATAGCTTGCACTTGCGCGTAGGTTATAGGCATAGTACAATTAACTTACAATAGGTGGCGCGCATATTGTACCGACCAAGGAGGCAAATATATTGAAAGTTATATATCATTCAATGTGCATTATCATTCCTGATTAAATCATAAACTTTACGCCAGTATATTCTAAGTCTATGAATTAAATAATATAACTCTTCCACATTTTCAGTAACGCGCTGGGTACCAGCTAGTGAAAAATAAAATAGATATTTGACCTTTTTAATTAAACGCTAATTAAAAGCAATATATATATTAAGAGCTGTAACATCATACCTGGCCCTTCATTGGCGTTCATATTGAAGAATCGCTTCTTGAAGGCAACATCAAGGGTTCCAATATTTCTCTTCTTTTGCCGCGCTTTTTCCAAATTGTGGATTGTTTTTCTTCTGCCTACATTTTGTGGCCCTGAACCTGAGTCATTTTCATAATCATCGTCAAGCCCATTCAATTTTTGTAGGTCTTTAACTATTGCTATTGCATTTTTATCCAAAAGAGCATCTTGAGATAAGTCTTCAGACTAAACAGAAAACATAATGTTATGGTTTAATTTGAGTACCTCGATGTTATCTTTATAGATATTGAATAGTTCAAAAATACTTGCCTTTTTGTTGCAAAACCAGTTCAGTTCAGTAGACGCTAATATATGTGAAATTGTTCCAAATCGATGGAATAACATAGCGGTAAATTGAATGACCAAGATCAAAGCGAAGAAAAATACGAAGACCAGACCTATAGGTTCCAGTTGCAAATACTCTTTAGAAATGAGCACCTAAAAATTGTGACAACATATTATTTTTCAGTCATTGTATAACGATATCTTTACCATGTTTATCACAAGAAAACAGAAGCTGTCACAATAAATTATAAAATAGGATACATTTAAATAGCTATTTCAAAAAAAAAATACAAAAAGTATTGTCAAATTGCAATTTGTAAACAGTTCGTGATGAACGTGGTAAAATGAAATGTGGGGTTATTAAATAATGCAAATTCCACATTTTTATCTATTTGTAATTTATTAGTAATTATCAAATAAATTGAGCACAAAATGTTGCAAGAGGTTTAGTTACTTTGACAGATTGAAATTATGTTTAGAACAATAAAAGTTTTTAACTTATATATTGATATAGAAGTCTATATACCTATAAATGAACACTTAAAATAGTATTGTTAAACAAATCACCACGTTCTTCATAAATAAGAGTACATATACACAAGAAAAACAAAAGCCTTATACCAAGTTTAATAGGAAAAGAGCCGCCACCTTAATAGACAGAAAAACAACTCCTCGGGGTATTGGGTAGAGTGCAATAATTTTGGATAGGAAGGTATTAATCTAAATCTAAATTATTATTTTGACTTTAAAAACAGTCGTATTTTTCTATAGTACCAAATTTATATATAAAAAAGGAAATATCACTTCATAAAAGAAAGGAAAATCCAGGGCCGGGGTATCAAGGGCTTAAAATTGGATTATGTGGAAAACTGTTATAGTATTGCCCAAGTTGTTTAGTTTTCAGTGTAGAAATAAATAAAAATCTGGGGTCCCCATGCTGGTGCCGTTCCAAAACAGACCGGTTAGAGGAAGGTCGTTAGACTTGTGAAGTGACACACACACACGTGGGTAATATTTGGCTATACCTCGCCTGTGTCCTCGATGTACGTAATGTTTGTCTTTACTCCTAAAGGCCAAATCACGTGGAGTTGATCTTTGTTCAGTTGTAATAAAAATACTATTAATATGAATAAAGCATTGAACATAACAAATGCAAAAACTGACTTATTGCGAAGCTCTATCAAGTCACGTGCAATTCGTGCCTGTAAAATTACATAAAATAAAAGGATTAGTTGCATCAGCTTTCAAGGTTGACTGGGTGAGAGACACGGTCTTTAGGATTATCATTTTTATGTTTACGAACGATGAAAATCGTATTCCTCAGTCATCATTGAAGGCCGATAGCCACAAAGTGGATTCTCACGTTACCTCTTGTGAAACCTCATCATACGTTATATTAGTTTTAACTCCCAAAGGCCACTTAAAATGAAGATTGTCCTTGTTCAGTTGTAGCAAAAATACAATGAGGACAAAAAGAGCATTGCACATAAAGAATGAAAATACAGAAGAGTCTCTCAGTTCTTTCAGGTCTCTGGATATACGGGCCTAAAATTATGGGAAGATTAACACGTTTAATTACTTTTTATTAAAATTTAAATAAAACAATCTGATCAGAAGCGATGTGTCATCTAAATATTTTAACCCTTAAAAATAAAAATAAAATAATTACTTTATTTTTAAGTGTTAATTTTATTTGAATATGCATTAGCAAACTATTGTTATTAATAATATTATGAATAAAATTTTGGATTATGAAAAGTTTGGATAAATGCATAGATTTGAATATTCTTGACGTTGAGTTGATTGAACAATGTATGAATTTGTATATTTGGGATGTTTATTTAGCAGGGATGGTAGATATGATAAGGTTATAGAACGACGAGTGAACGCAGGAAATAGAGTGAATGGGGCTCTACACGCTATTATGAAGAGTCAGAATGTGTCAAAGAAGGCACGTATGGCAATTCATAATGCTTTGTTAGTCCCTACTTTAATGTATGGTAGTGAAAGATGGGTCTGGCAGAAGAAGCATGAGAGTAGAATAAATGCTGTAGAAATGCGGTCATTAAGGAGTATGCTAGGGCTGAATCTGAATGACAGGGTGAGAAATAGTATGATAAGAGAAATGTGTGGTTTGCAAGATGACGTTGTGACCACGATTAAAAAAGGAATACTTCGGTGGTTTGGTCACGTAGAAACAATGAACGAGGAAAGAGTGACAAAGCAAATTTATGTTTCAGAAGTGAAAGGCAGAGTCGGGAAGGGACGCTCTAGACTAAGATTTATCGACCAAATCGGCGATACATTGAAAATGGGCCAGATTAGGAGTACCCTTAACCGACGATCGTGTATGCGTAGATATATGGATATAAAGAAGGCGAGAAAGGTGTGTCAGGATCGCGCCAAATGGAAGTCCGTAGTCTCTGCCTACCCCTCTGGGTGACAGGCTTGAGTGTTTGTGTTGTGTTTTGTGTTGAGTTATTTTTATTGTTATAATTTAATTTTAATACTTACTATAGATCATTACCACTAGCATACTATGCTATCCTTGGCACATTTGAGGCAATATCAAGTTTACACAGTTTTATAAAACCTACATTAAGGAATTTGAAACAAAAACATTTATATCCAATCTTATTTTAAGTGTGTTTTAGCTTGTTTAAACTTACCTGCTCTTCCTTGTTAGCATCAATGGGATATAAATATTTATCAATCAAATCTTTCCAAAACTGTGTCTCAGATTGGCTCAAAAAGTCAACCTCTCCTTTTTTGAGTTCAGGATCTTCAATCCAATATGGATTTATTAAATCATCCCTTCGTTCCTAAAAGCAAAAATGTTATTATAAACGTATTGCCATATACACAATATACAATATTAATTTTAAATTGAGAGTGCGTTCTTACTCTAGGGGCAGTTGACATCGTATCAGCATCGGAAGCCAAATCATTGTCTTCTTCTGGACCTTCAGCTAAAGCATCTAGTTGATGATCTCCAGCGGTACTTCCCCTGTGGCCAATGGATAACTTTCTTCCTCTGTTAAGGCCATGGGGATCAACAGTTCTGTAAGATATATTTAATAACTATAATGATTTAATAACTTCAAAAGTATTTTTTTATCTATTCTATAAAAAAAAAACTGTCTTTCACCTTCAACCCTATTCTTTTTCATTCATTCATGCATTACAGCACATCACAAGTCCACTGCTGTACATAGGCCTCCCCCAAGAAATGCCACAAAACACGGTCCTGAACCACTTGCATCCATCGAATTTATGCATGTCTTATCTAGTGGCGGGCCGCCCTACACTTCACCTACCGGTACGGGGCTGCCTCTAGAGAACATTTCTTTCCCATCAGTTGTCGGTTCTTCGAGCTATAGGGCCGGCCCATCGCCACTTCAGCTTACTAATCCCCTATTTCGACGGCATCAAAGGCTACGAGAAAAGTCCACATATGCAAGACAAAGTGGCAGATTGTAGTCTTCGGTCTTCGGTACAATTTGCCGAAGGGTATGTATGTGATGTGGTCTATGGTACTAAAGCCTCTTCGGAAAACCGGCTTATTCGGGAGGCTGTAAGTCGTTGAATCTGCGTGCGAGACGATTGAAAATGATCTCGAAAAAACCATTCTAATCTACCTCAGACTGACGTCTGGAATATCATCGGAATAGTGTCGGATAAGACTTGCTTTTGTATCAGATCAGAGAGTTTTTGTGTTCTTCTGGGACGGGTCTTGCAGAACTTAGCTCCGCCCGCATGGGCAATCTTCTAGGTACTGAAAAAGATTTTGTAACTTGAGCCGAAAGTTATTGGGGCTTTGGATTAGAGCACCAGAGAGACAGAGCTGACTAACTTGACTTCATTAGACGTGACCTCGATTCAGTGTGCCTCTTACCATTCGGTGATTACTGCCATTGTTTTCAACCTCGCGATTACTGAGACATCACTTAACGGTTACCGTCGGGGCTCGACCAGGTCTACTTTCTTTGGAAAAAAGGTTTCATCATAAAGAGTCCGTCTTTCTCCATGAAGTCGGTCAGCTGCTGGCCCGTAGCCGTAGTCCTATCCCGAATTTCCCTTCCTTCAGCGCACAGTTCTCTTTAATGCCTAGTTTTGCGTTAAAGTCTCCCATTAACAGTGTATAGTGGGTTTAGGAGGAATGCATGGCTCTAGAGATATTCTCATACATTTCTTCCACCTCCTCATCGGGATGTACCGAGGTTAGTGCATAAACCTGTATGATCTTCAATGAATACCGAATTTATTTATACTCAGAATTTGGTGATTCTGAGTTTAAGGTACGCAACCTCGTAGAGACACTCCCAATCTTTACAACGTTGTTAACGAGTGACTTTTGGACAATAAATCGACACCTCCTTGGGACAGATCGTCGCCCTCTCGGTGATAGAACAAGTTGCCGGATTCGAGGATTACCGAATTCTCCTCTTCTATTCGGCCCTCAGATAATCCTATAATATCGCAGCGTAACTTGTCAATCTCTTCTTCCGCCTCCAGGATTTCCTCGTCAGTCCTCAGGAAGCGTTTTTTTTTATAGGATAAGGGTGAAATACGAGCACACAGTCCACCTGATGGTAAGTGGTTGTTGCGGCCCATAGACATCTACATCTATCCTCGTTTGCGAATCAAAATGCAGATGCGTTGTCACCCGTAAGGACTAAGATGGAATGCCTCATTCCCAGTAAAAAGGTCCTCCGGGCACCTGCACTCACCAAGCGAAACGCAGAGGTAAACCTCTACTTCACGCTGGTATTCTGTGAGGTCGTGGTACCACCCCGGTTCGAGCCGGCCCATCCGTGCGACAGCAAAAGCTGCCGCGTGGCTGTTTAATTTGCCAGATCAAGTCGTCTTAGGTGGCAACTGAACCTCCACCGGAGATTCTTAGCACCCCCTGCCCCGTCGTTACCACGCTACCGTTGCCAGGAATAAAGAAGATGCTGCTGCCCAATTCCTGCCTCAATTTCCCTCGTCGCCTTTAACATTCCCCACGGGAAGACATGGAATAGTGAATATTCTTACACCGCCACTACACGGCAGGCACAACCCTATACTATAAATTATATCTACTCTCAACTTTTGTCTCTGGTCTGCCGTCAAAATAATATAAATCAAGCTTTTTACGTTTCGGTAATTGAATCAGACTCACAGAGCTTTTAATGATAGCCATAAGCTATTGGCAGTTAAGTCAATGCATCTACTTGAAATGCAATAATGAAAAGCTGAAATTTTCTTCTGATATAGTAGTTGAGACTGAAGAAATTAATGCGTTCACTTATCTAAAGTTGGCCGTGTGGAATATTTATCAACACCTATAATTAACATGTAACATCTGCAAATGTTATGTTTTTAATTTTTTTAATCTAACATTTATTACTAAAATATAACATATTTTTAGATAACAATTAAGTGAATTCGACAATAAGGAGCGTTTTGCCAACTTGGTCAGTTTCGATCTTACAATGGCCTACTTAAATATAAATTTGTCTCGTATTACCTCTCTATAATATCCAGCTTCTTTTCCAACTTTTCTAGCGTTGATGCAATATGCAACATTTGGACTTTTTCTTCACTGCCTTTGGGATGTGTGCATAACAAACATTTAAACAGTCCTGCAAATGAGAACTCTATAGATCCTTCTTCTTCATTGTTGTTAACGCTTTGCAGGAAGCCCAGTAACGATTTTTGCTTAACCTTTTTCTTGGCCTCTTCAGCCTCTTTTTTCTCTTGTTCGATTTCCTTTAAAAATAAAAAATAAAAGATGATATCAACACGCTATTTATTATTTAAACAGTATTTAAGCTATTTGGGCGGTCACATCGGTAATAAACTTTTTTTGGTAGGGTGGTAGTAAAAATATATTCGTACGGTTATTTTAATAAAATATCCCACAAATTATTAATTTGATTGTTAAAACTGCACTTATGTAAGAACACGATCCTATAATAGAACGAATAACATATTTATTGCAAGTTGAAAAAGCGACAGTAGGTTAATGTGCCCCAAAGCCGCACTCATCTATATTAAACATGTAATTTTACTGGCTCATCTAAATTTTTACTGTACAAGTATTTATATAACTGCTCCTGACGTTTCTAGTGTAGTAAATCAGATTTAGTAAATGATCACGCACTACTGTATAATAATTAATTTTACTGACCAATTGAAATATTTATAAAATTGCTAATTTCGAAATATTCTTTCCGATATTTCTATTTTTTACTGCTTACAAAACTAGCCAATCCGTTATTAAACAAACGATTTGTGTTTTTGAAACATTACGGATTGATTAAATAATAACCACATTTATACTTACAGATTATAGACCATTCGCAGTATATCGATTTAAAAAAAAAAGTAAAAATACCAACCTTTTTAGTTTTTTTCACTTGCACTTCTCGAGTACCCCACGATACGACATTCAGGTTGATAATCGAATACAATATCAGTAGCAAGTACATAGAAGGTATAGACAGCAAATAAATTATGCCAGGCACAATGCACCAAAACTCTTGCGGATGTAAACAGGCTGCTATGAAAAAGGAACTTGATAAGGATATTAAAAAGATAGCGGATGGTGATCCGATACCGTCCTCTCCTAACTGGAGTGCTGTACCAACGATTACAGCCATCATAATCATCGCATACGCCGTTGATAAAATTTGTGCCACCATTAACTGAAAAAAAAAATTAACACTTCAAAAATATACTTAAAACTTAAACCTCCAATTAATTTAAAAACTATATTGGCTATAGCTTAAAACCTGAGTCTAAACATGCGGCTATACAAAATATATTTAAGCCTTTTACTTTCATTGATCATTAATTACTTTCTAATAAAGAGGGTCAAACATAAACCGAGTAAAAATGGTGAAATGAGTGGAAGCGGGCACGCTATTGCAAAACAACTGCTATCTTTTATTTTCTTTTTCAATTTTAATGCATTATAACCTTTTGGTTCCATCGCTTTCCTTCTACTATTGTTTAGATTTTAAGCTTAACAATTAGACCAGAAGTAATGTAGAGTCTAGTCTAGCCTCGTGTTTATTATTTGCTTATTGTTTTTTTTATTCACTGTTAGGATTAATTAAAAAGTTTATTAAGATTTACCACTGCGAGCAGTACAAATCTGCGAGAGTGGTACTACTCGAAAGAGACAAAACGGACCACACTGAAAAACAGCGGCTGTGGTTCGCCATCGTCACAACAAATGCTGAGTGCGAACCCTTTTCGTTCAAATATAATAATAACGTTCAAAATGACAAAATATTATGTACAATATGGCGTTGTGTTTATGTGGCGAAATAAATATTTTCTTTCTTTATTTCTAAAATATAAATGCTATACTGTGTGCGTTATAATTTTAATCTAAATACATTTATTTGGCAAGATGAATGTGGAAAACACATTTGCAAAGCTTAATTTTGATTTAATGAATGCGCGAAAGCAGCAGCTGTAGATTTAAACAGCGAATGCCGAAATTCGTAAAGTGTGGAAAAAGTATGTGGAGAATTTGATATAGACTCAACGCATACGGCCGAAGCGCGGACTGGCGAACATTAATTGCCAAAATTTTCATAGAAAGAATGTTTCCGAGTTATGTGTTTTTTTTTTTGGAGAGTCTAAGCTGTCTATATTCTCGGAGTGATGTAGTTTAGGGAAATGTGGTGTACTTTATTACATGCTACATTTCCCGTGTTATGTTAAACAATACGATGTGTTCACAGTCCAAAACTCGCGTCCGCCATTAGGTAGGCCAAGCATTGTAAACAATTATAAGATATAACAAAAAGTAAAAACCGACTTCAAATTGCTCAAAAATAAGTTATTTAGTTAGTTCATACCCTTAGGGTGAAATTTTGTCTTCAAATTTATATGGAACCATCCTTGAAGTATAACCTATTTAATAAAAAAGAATCATCAAAATTGGTTCACAATCTGCGAAGATATCGCGTAACATTACATACAAAAAAAACACACACTTGAATTGAGAACCTCTTCGTTTTTGAAGTCGGTTAAAAAGCGCTGGGTCGCGTACTGAAAGCAATTTAATTGCTTATTTATTACTTGTCACGGTAATGAAAGAAAACGGTAAATGACCACTTCGCAACGGAGCGGCGCGGTAGGCTGTTACCAGCTTCACAACATAAGTATTTAGATACTAGCTGTGCCCGCGGCGTAGCTCGCGAATATAGGTTTTACTAAAAGAGTTTGACGTTTAGGGTAAGAGATTACATATTTTTGTTTCAAGTTACCTGTATTTCCGATTTCATCGTGAAGCAAACAATCATAAATAACATAATCGGATATAAATTGTATTCGAAAGAGGTCCAATTGTCGATTCTAAAAGCAGCCACGAACGCACCCACCAACATAAGAAATATAGTTCCAGGGCCGAGAATTGTGCCACCCATCAACATCATCTGTGAACAGTAAATTAGTTTTTAGAGTTTTAACTAGAACATAAATCAAGTCTAGTAGCTGTATTTTTTCTGTTAATTAATAGTATATTCGTGATTTTCACCTGGTATGCGATATAAGGCGACGAAATATTGTCATTGATTTTGATTGTATGCTTATAGTCTACCAGCAAGTCCATAATGTTAGCAATGGTCGAAGGCACCCAACGACGGCGCTGGTTATAAAACTCGCTGAATCCTTCAGGACAGTGAGTATACGCGTCTGAAGCAGCTGAATATTCCACGCGGTAACCACGTTGTAAAAGGAGTGTACATAGCCATCGATCTTCACCTGTAAACGGGAAAATAAAACTCGCTTTTTTGAATACTATCGAATAAATTCTATGAAGAAAAAAAATCTCTTGAAGTCATAGAATGTAATATTTGAAAAGGAATCTTATTTATATGTAATCCTGCATTAAATAAAGTATCTGGTGTCTGGTCATGGTTCAGGACCGTACTTTGTTGCAATCTATGAGGGTGGCTTTTGTCTAGCCGATGGACTTTAATGTTTAATGATAATGATAGTAATGAATCAAATAGTAACGTGAACTAAATATCTTAGTTACCTTGATCGTATTGTACGTAGTGCCGAGCTTCATCGGATCGCAAAGTGTATTTTTTCATAACGTTATCGTCCATCAGAGCCTTTCCTCGGAAGAGTGAGAAACATCCCGGACTACAGAGTACGCAGCCAATCATGTGTTCCGTTGCCTTTTGCAGCCAATGACCAATAGCGTATTCAAACAATTGGTACCACACCATAGGACCTATAATTTTAATTAATTGTAAATTATAGTATTTTAAAAAGAATAAATAAAAAGTATTTTTTTTTATATATATAGAATAGGGGGCAAAACAGCATGCGGCTCACCTGATGGTAAGTGACTACCGCCGCCCATGAATAACCGCAACACCAGGGGAATTGCAGATGCGTTGCCGGCCTTTTAGAAAGGTGTAAGCTCTTTTCTTGAAGGTTCCTAAGTCGTATCGGTTCGGAAAATTCGCTGGTGGTAATTGATTCCACAAAGAAGTTGTGCGAGGGAGAAAACTTCTTCTAAATCGCACAGTGGTGGACCGCCAATCATCCAGATGGTATGGATGGTAACGCGAGTTTTGTCGCGATGTACGATGGTGAAATTGAGTGGCTGGAATTAGTCCAAACAATTCCTCAGAGCACTCCCCGTGATAGATGCGATAAAATACGCAAAGAGATGCAACATCTCTACGCAGTGCCAGTGTGTCCAGCCAATCAGAAAGAACTCGGTCGTCGACGATTCGAACCGCTCTGCGCTGGATGCAGTCAAGTGGAAGGAGCTGGCGCTGGGGTGCCCCGGCCCAGAGATGAGAACAGTATTCCATGTGGGGCCCAGCTTGCGCTTTGTAAAGTTGCAAGCGATGTGCCGGCATGAAATACTGTCTCGCTCTGCTGAGCACGCCAAGCTTTTTAGAGGCCAATTTGGCCTTCCCTTCCAAGTGACCACGAAACTGCACGCTATTCGATATGTCGACGCCAAGGATTCCGATACTGGCTGAGGCAGCAAGGGGAGTGCCTTGAAACTGAGGAGATACGACAAAGGGGTTCTTTTTAGCGGTAAACGCGCAAACTTGTGTCTTCTGGGGATTGAACTGGACTAGATTTAGTCGGCCCCAATCCGAGACTTTGTTAAGCAAAGACTCGACTTCAGACAGAAGTTTGTCCCGGTACTCGGCGACGTTTTCCCGAGAAATATTGGCACGGCCGGTATATAAGGCATCCCCAGTGCTGTCGTCTGCATAGCAATGAATGCTACCAGTTAGCAACATATCATTGATATGCAGGAGAAACAGCGTTGGTGATAGCACGCAGCCTTGTGGAACACCAGCGTTGATAGGCTTGTAATCAGAGCATGCACCGTCTACTACGAGCTTGATGATCCGATCAGCAAGGAAACTGGTGATCCATTTGCACAATTTCTCGGAAAGCACATAGGAAGGAAGCTTCGAAAGAAGCGCCTTGTGCCAGACCCGATCGAAGGCCTTCGCTATGTCCAAACTAACGGCCAATGCCTCCCCCTTGGACTCTACTGCCTCCGCCCGTCTATGAGTTAAGTAAACTAGAAGATCACCTGCTGATCGACCTCGACGAAAACCGTACTGACGGTCACTGATCAGCTGGTGATCCTCAAGGTACCTCATGAGCTGGCAATTTATAATGGATTCCATTATTTTGGAGAACAAGGAGGTGATGGCGATAGGCCTGTAGTTGGACGGGTCTGAGCGGTCGCCTTTTTTAGGGATCGGGTGGACCAAAGCTGTCTTCCATGAATTCGGGACTACGCCTTGGGAGTAGGAGTACCGGAAAAGACGCGTTAAAACCGGTGCCAACTCCGGAGCACACGTTTTCAGCACAATGGGAGGGACTCCATCGGGCCCACTCGACTTGCTGACGTCCAGGGAGAAGAGTGCTTTGCGAACCGAGCGCTGTGTAAATCGCACATCCGGCATGGAGCACTCACATCGCGGGATGGTCGGCGGTGTGTTCCCCCCGTCATCTAGAGTCGAGTTAGACGCAAAAAGATCGGCTTTCTCTTTTGCGGCATGGGCCAGTGAGTCGTCCTCTCTGTGCAGAGATGGGAGGGATGGCTGACAGAAGTTCCCTTGGATAGCCTTGGCGAGAGACCAGAATGCACGGGTTCCCGAAGGAAGGCGAACTAGCTTCTCGCCAATTCTGCCGATGTGCTCAGACCTTGCCTTGGCAAGGTCTGAGCACATCGGCATCGCTTTTGAAGAACCTGGAGGCGGAATTATACTTCTTTTTAAGTGCGCTGGTGTTTAAATCCCGAGACGTTGATGCGTCAGCCCAGGCCCGGTAGCACTCCTGCTTATAGCGTGATGCTATTTTACAGGAGCGACCAAACCATGGCTGGGATCTGCCTCCGATGGGCACCACAGAGGATGGAATAAAAAGTTCCATACCCTGAAGTACCACATCAGCAACAGAATCGGCAACAACGCTGGGATCTTCCGGCGAGAAGCAAACCCGCCCCCAAGGGTAGGATGCAAAAAATGACCGCATCCCGTCCCAATCAGCTGACCTACAGTGCCAAACACGGCGGCAAGCTGTAGATCGCAGGCATTCATTATAAAAATTGAGATATAAAGGTAATAAGATATATATATATATATATATATATATATATATATATATATATATATATATATATATATATATTAATAATTATATTAAACTAAAAAAGTACAGTTACAGACTATAAATGAACTACTATCTGGTATTTTCACGATTTTTAAATTTACCATCGAGCACATGGTAAATTAGCATGTAGAATTGCAATCAATAATTTCATTACCGCCGTCGGGGTTCGAACCCGCGTAACTCGCGTAGTGTGATATTTATAGCCAGCGCTTAGCCCCTGAACTACCACACTCACAGTATTGAATACATATATTATAATATGCCATTTATTATGACTATCTCTACGTGGTACATAAAAGAATTCATCGCCCTATCTGAACCCGAAGGTTTCTTAAGTTTACTATTGAAAATGTAGGACGATTTGTACAAAATTGCAGTATAACTAACAAAAATATCTCGTATATATAGGTATCCGGGAAGCACCTTCAAAATGCAAGTATTACTTCAAATTTAACCATGGGAGAGGCTAATGTCCAGCCGTGAACTGTGATGAGGCCGAGGACGACTTAATAATTATTATAGTGATATGTAATGCGAATTTGACTGTGATCCCTATATTTTCGGATCTAGAAGCTTAATCACAAACGATGGATTATTAGTTTAACCAATCATGATGATAACAATTTTTATTTCTATCATTTTTAAATCACAAAAAAAAACTTTTCTTACCAGATCCAACAGGATGAATACGACCACATGCAGCTCCTAGATTTTTATTCTTTTTCATCAAGTCGATCAGTAAACGTACTGCGTGTGGCTGGAAATCAATATCTCCATCAAGTGTAAGTAAAAATGTGTTTTCGGCCATTACTTCCTTTCGGTCTACGGATATCGGAAGTTCAATAAGACGATGCCCCAAGAGATAGTACATGTACATCACCTGTAAAGCATAAAACATGTGAAATGTTTCGTGTCTTGTCTTGTTGTGTGTTATCTTAAATTTATTTTATATTTAAAACATTATTTCTATATGCTACCTGAGACCATCGTTTTCGGTGACGAATCTTAGCTTTGTCTTTAAGGTGGCAAATCATCTTCGTTTTACCCGGAAGTACCCATGTCAATCGTCCTCCATAAGGTGCAGGGTATTTTTTAGGTGGACGAATACGAATAATTGTTTGATGAACATTTGAAGCAGCTTCGTCAATAGTATCCACTAAAAGTTTGACGAATCGATTTACTTGTGAATCGTCATCACTGTGGTCCGATATTTCGAAAGCGTCGTCCAAGAAAATATGAGCTGAAATGTTAGATTTTTTAATCAAAGTATATTCATCGAATCTATTAAGTATATTGAATGGAATTAATTTAGTCATAATATATCACTTACTTTCGAATTCATAGTAATCCGGATCAACGACCCGTAAATATTTTTGAGCAACTCGTCTAGCGCACTGGTCCTCATCTAACCGAAGAATAGACTTTAAAAACTCCATCATTTCATCTTTCGTTTCATGCCACATAGTAGCGCAAGCGTATATTCTAGTTATTTGATCAGATGATTTTATAGTTCTAGGAGAAGATCCAGTATTGTCAGTATGAACTGATATAGTTTCATAGTATTCATCACCTTTTTCTTTTTCTATTTCTGCGAGGTCCTATAAAATAAAGAATATTTGAGTATCAATGCATTTCATTAAATAATTAACTGTTTAAATATTTTCATACATCATAAATTTAACCTTCCTGGCTCAAAAATACCAACCTCAGTTTTAACGTCCTTATGATCGTCTCTCTTTCGATTAAGTGCCATACTTTGGTCAATCAGAAGGCCGTTGTACATAGGAAGAACAAACAGTTTTTCAGTAGATGCTAAACGTTCAGCCTTTGGCGTCCAAATATGTATCGTGATCCATGTTTGAGATAGTAACCACAGTAGCCATGCCCATGCCATTTGTCTCGATATAAAATCACTCAGTGAGAATACTGTAAATATTATGAATAGTGTAATAATATTATGACAATATGATGTCGGGAGACGAGTTAATTTGACTATTGTCTTTCTAGGTGGTAGGACTCCTTTTCTACCCAGGAGTCCGTCTGGGTAGGTCCTAACTCTACACGTGGTAGAGCCATGCTGCAGCTATATTAGTAGTATAGTTGTAGCACGAATGGGTCGGCTCGACCGGGGAAGGACCACGCTTCCACAGAGTACCAACGTAAACTGCTGTCATTCATATGGTGAGTGTAGAGAACCGGAGACCCTTTTTACTGGAAAAGAGGTATTCCATCTTGATCCTCACGGGTGACAACGCATCTGCATTTTGATTCTTTATTGAGGATAGATGTGGATGTCTATGGGTAACAGCAACCACTTACCATCAGGTGGACTGTGTGCTCGTTTGTCATCCTATTCTATAAAAAAAACCCTGTTACCTATTTCTGTTGCCTATCGCCAAATACCTGTTCTTGTATACCTACTTTTTGGACCAGCACTGCTGTTTCCTGCCTGAAGAGTTAGAGAACCAGTAAAATTACAAGCTGTTAGACATTCTATCATAGTCCTCAGAAGTTACAATGCATCAGTAGCTATGTCCTTCTTTGTTTAAATTAGTAGCTATTTATCCTCAGGTGGACTATAAATTCGTCCGGTACATAAATTTAAAAAAACAATATAATGAAAATAAATCTAACAAAATAAAATAAATTAAAGATTATCGTGATAAATTGAAGATTTAATTTTATACTAACCCGGTGGAGACTCAAAGAACAGATAGTCGGGCACAGTGCCATGGAAAAAGCAATTATCGCCGTTTCTCAATCCACAAGCAGCAATCAAAAAATTCACCACAAGTGGTATGATGAGATTAATGGGAAACGCGTAACTGAATCCTTGAATAAGAATTTTGCAAGCAAACTTTCCAAATATGTAGCAGAAATATGCGGCGAATATCTGAATTAACATAACATAATAAGCAGACTTGTACACCGCTGCAACTTCAACGGAATCTCCCGTAAGTGTTGCATTTACCAAATCGGGTATCACAGTGCCGCCCAGTTGGATTTGTATCTGAAATGTAATGAAATTGTAAATTAAGAAAAATTTACATTCTCCTTCTACTTTATAAAAAATCTTCTGTATATTAGTTTAATACTAACCTCTTCAACAACAATATTATGTGGTCCGAATCCGGCGTTAAATAATTTGAAAAACATAACGGGTTCATCTCCGTCCATCCAAATGCAGAAGAGGATACAAACGAGAAACAGTAATATCTTCCATATAGACATGAACCGGTACGTGTAGTAGCGAGAGGCATTTAATTCTTCTTTTAATCTGGCCAAAGATTTAATTATGCCTAAAAAGGAAGAAATCAAATGAACTTTTATATCTCATCTTTAATTTACAATGGCGTCTTTAATTTCTAAGAGAGCTACAGAGAAATTAGTCCGCCACGCTGTAGTGAGTAATTATTAAGAGTACGAGTAGAACATTTAAAGTTCTAGACAGAACAACACGTCTTAGATATACAGGCTTTTTGTGCAATAACCGGCCAAATTTGCAGATAAGGTTCAGAATAAGTAATATGGGCAAATAGTAAAGAAAAATTAATTTAAAAAAAACTCAAATATTCTATCCTTTTCTTCTTTTAAATTCAAAATGCGTAGTAATGCATTATTTTACTGATTATACTGCGCACTCACACATTCGTAAGGGTCGATTGCTAGGCGAGAATGTTGTTGCTCATAAATCACATTCAATTTGGGATAATTTCAAATAGAAGAAGTATACTTGCTGAGCCACACTCAGTGGTAGCAAAATCATTCATTTCAATATCCTTACCACATTGATCCCCCCTTACTAAATAGCATTTGTGTAACACGAATAAGTTAGGTTACGATAAGGCTGACATATCCTTGTAGGATAAAAGCCTTTTTAAATAAATATAGATAATTAAAAAAAATAGAAGAAGAATCCTTATTTACTAGTATTTTCAAAAACTGCAATAACGGTACGGTATTTATATATTTGAACTTAAGTTTAAAATAGGGCTACTCTTTGAAAAATAACCCTGTAAATTAAGTCCGACAACATGCTCCTATGCATGTTGTCGGACTTAACATATCCTGGAAATATTTTATTTCCCAGCTATGCACGTTTCCTTACTATATTTTCTTTCATCACCGAGTACGTGGTAAACCCTCACTTAGAATTGCAATTAACAATTTAATTCATGCCGACGGGATCGTACTTGAGTCGCTAGTGCTAGTGGAAACGGCGAATTAAGCTCTTGAGCTACCGCGGCTTCACCTTATTTTTTTTTAAAACAGCATGTCTATACCTAACTATCGTGTTGTGGTTCTACGTTCGAATCCCAGCCGTGACCAGCATTTGTACAATAACACAACATAATATTGTTAGCTTTCGTCTTTTGATGTATTCTTATTTAACCTGTACCTCTGACACCGCTAATTAATTAATTACAGAACCAATGTTTTTCACTGTAATAGGTTACTTTGAAAAAAGCCGCGTTAGGTTTCTTTCTGGTTCTTAACAGAACTGAGGTTTTTTCCATCCTGTACAATATTCTGAACTACCTTGAATACCAGCGTTAGGAATTACCAGTCCGTTAATTATGTGAGGTGATTTGGTGATTTTTCCGCCCTCCCCTCCCGGTGAGGTGGTTCGATCCCCTCAGCCTCTCCCAAAATATCACGTGAGATTTTTTTTAAATGCGTAATTTTAGTGTAAATTAGTTAAACCTACGCTTAACTGCGTTGGGATTATTAACAAGAAACATCATTTGCTGATTTATTTTAATATAATTTGTAGAGTTCTCATAACTGCGCTAAATATTATTGTGTAGGATTTAGCTATATTTTACTTCATTTAACCCAATTTTCTCGAAATATTACAGTGTTTTGCTGTAAAAATTGTGATATTTGTCGAGAGGGATCTCCTCTAAACACATCACGTAATTAATGGACCCCCCCCCCCCCCCGCTCTTACATAAAAGACGGATAAGTTAGATCGAGAGATTGAGCGTACACTTTGTGACACTGTAATGTCTCCTGCGAAGTTGATACCAGACAGAAACATTCTGAAGTTGTCACTGTATCTAAAAGCAGCCTGAAAAAAAACACTTTCATTCCTTACCTATAGGACTTTGCCTTGTTACGTAGTTCTCCCACCATCCCAACGATATACATAAAGAAGAAATCGGTATTAGCCATAGCACTGGTTTGTTCTCTGAAATCGGCCATACGATAAACCCAGTCACTTGTGCTACAATTGCTACCATATCAACGATCACTTTCATAAATCGCTTCGAGTCCCTGGAGTTTCGTGAGAGTAAGCCTAGGATCGCCGGTATTACACAGAGACAATTCGTAAGCATAGCTCCTTTAACGACGTCTAATTCCGGCAGAATTATAAAGAATAATATGCCCAATCCGATTGTTTGTAGTGATTCCGCGAGAAACACCTGAAAATTAAATAATAATAAGGTTTATTAAAATAAAAATGGTAATAGACTCACGATTCGGAGGAACGCAGCTCAATACTGCTGTTTCGTATGGTGAGTATAGAGAACCGTAAACCCTTTTTACTGGATACGCGGCATGCCAACTTAGTCCTCAAAAAAAAAGATTCTTAATCTATGATAGATGTAGATGTCTATGGGCCACAGCATCCACTTACCATCAGGTGGGCTGTGTGCTCGCTTGTCACCTTATTTTTATAATAAAGGCGTTTATCGGTTAATAATATCTGTCGCATACTATAACGATTAAACCTCCAACCTACTCAAAGCAAGGCATTGATTTGTAAACATTTATATTGTGTCCCATGCAGGTAACTTATTTTATTTAAATGAGACCTCCACGTTTCACTCACTGCTTGATAAAAAATTTAAAACAAGTTATCTAAAATATTACATGCTTACGTGACACGATATAAATATTCACATTTCAATGCCTTATGAGTCAAGTTTGTGTTTTGTCGTTATAGTGAGTGACGGCTACAATAAAGATCATCATGATTTTAATATGACGGCTCCGGGCGCAGTGGCTTAGCAATGAGTTTCATCGAGAGCCGCTGGTTCAAATCCCGCACGGAACAAGTATTTGTAAGGCCTACAAATAATTATTGCAGGTCTGAATGTTTGTCTTGGTAAAATTTTTGTATGTAAACTGCCCCCACAAAGCAGGAGAAAATCCTAGTGTGGAGGTAACGTTATACAAAAGAAAGAAAAAAAAAAAGAATATCGGTTCTAGCTAAATCAGTAACCAATCACTTGTAAGTCAAAAATATTTTACAACTGATTCATAACCGGATGGATTTATAAAAGATTGTGAGGCATTTCTAGGGTATTAACGTTAACAAGCTTTTCTTCAAATGCAATTTTATATCTTACGTAGCGTACCCTGCCAATAGGCGGATGAGACGTCTGACTAATAGACTGATAATCCGACCAAAAATACTAACCGCAAATATCACAGTCTGTTGATAAAGAAGAGCGTTACTAGCGTAAGGTATTTACCCTGCACTTATCAAACCGCCTGGCTAGCGTTGTAGGCATATAATTTATATAGAAGTGTTATTAGAAAAACAAAATATTTACAACTCCTTTCCTCCCAGACGCTGCTTCCCACATAGCTCTGGTGTTTTTATATCCGGTGTAAAAGCAAGGGCGTTTTTACACCCAATACAGAAGGAGGGGCTCGGGTGGCCACGGGGCATACCCCACTCCCCCAGTACCGTGGAGAACGATTGACCTCAGAACTAGAAGCTTAATAAGTTGTACGATATATGACTAAGCGAAAAGCTCACAATATGCTTCGAAACTGAACGAATCCGGAACAGTCATATAACACACACTGGGCGAGTAGCGCTAAGTATCCGACATACCAATGAAGTGGCAAGTTAGTATAAATAAGCAAGTAACAAAAAATTTAAAAATAGTTTTTTGTCTGTGCATAATTGAAATCCTGTCTAAATATATAAAAACAAAAGATATAGTGTTATTATACGTACCACAACAAACTGGACAGGCGTAGGTCGCTTGGAGGACTTGAAGAAACAAATTCTGATCGAACGTATAAATGTTCCGATTTCAGGTACGGCAAAGGCAGCGAAAACAGCCCACATCCACGCAACACGTTCTTCATCTGGCAGACTTACTATAAACTGCTTATCTCTACCTGTAACCGTAGCACATAATAAAAGTTTACTATTATTATCGTTATCAGACTCGGTATGGGTAACAAGGGCCACTCCCTGGTTACTCAAACTAAATTTCATTCTGGTTTAAAAAAAAACATGATTTTAGGAAAAAACTCCAGTAAAAATATTTATGTAGATATTTTTTTTTGATGTGGATTATGGGACTCGTTATATCGCTGTAAGATGTGCTGAATACCAACACTTATTGGGTCTTGGGTCACAAAATAATTGGTATAGAAAAAAATTAAATGCGTAGATAAAATACTATGTAACATTCAAAGTTGAGTGGTAACTAAAATTTACTAATAAAATTATAGAAGATATCTCTTAAGATATATCTCTCTCTCTGATCACAGTTAAAGGTCACTTTAACCGAGATAACAGTTCAAGGAAATAAAATCAACTTACCTAAATTTCTATTACAATAAGCTATTCTCCTATCTTTTTTCAACTGGGAAGTCATGAAAAGCACTGTGCCTTTGGCAATAACACCAGAGCCTAGTACTACAACGAATGTAACGAAATAGGCCAGCACTTTGAGCATTCGCACTGTGAACTCCAGCCATTTCTGTGTTTCCATAGATATACTGTCCTGCTTCGGTGGAAATTCTCTGAACACGTCCCATCCTTTCGTTTCTTGTACTGTTCTTTGGCTGAAAGAGAGCACAATTAAATTTAAAAAATATAGAACAACTACTTTACTTTTTATATTCAAATAAAACATTGTTTTTGCTTAATGTAATTATAAAACTACAAAAACTATCGCTAACATTAAGATTTTTTTTTTATAGGAGAGGGGGCAAACGAGCATGCGGCTCACCTGATGGTAAGTGACTACCGCCGCCCATGAACAACTGCAACACCAGGGGAATCGCAGATGCGTTGCCGGCCTTTTAAAAAGGAGTACGCTCTTTTCTTGAAGGTCCCTAAGTCGTATCGGTCCGGAAAAATCGCTGATGGTAATCGATTCCACAAGGAGGTCGTGCGAGGAAGAAAACATCTTCTAAATCGCACAGTGGTGGACCGCCAATCATCCAGATGGTGTGGATGGTATCGGGAGTTCTGCCGCGATGTGCGTTCGTGAAATTTGGCGGCTGGGATTAATCCGAACAATTCCTCAGAGCACTCCCCATGGTAGATGCGAAAGAAAATGCAAAGGGATGCAACATCTCTTCGCAGTGCCAATGAATCGAGCCGATCGGAAAGGGCTTGGTCGTCGACGATTCGAGCCGCTCTGCGTTGGATGCGGTCAAGTGGAAGGAGCTGGCACTGGGGAGCCCCTGCCCAGAGATGGGAATAGTATTCCATGTGAGGCCGAACTTGCGCCTCGTAAAGTTGCAGGCGGTGTGCCGGCATGAAATACTGTCCCGCTCTGCTGAGCGCGCCAAGCTTTTTAGAGGCCAATTTGGCCTTCCCTTCCAAGTGACCACGAAACTGCACGTCACTCGATATGTCGACTCCGAGGATACCGATACTGGCTGAGGCAAGAAGGGGAGTGCCTTGAAACTGAGGAGATACGACAAAGGGGTTCTTTTTAGCGGTAAACGCGCAAACTTGTGTCTTCTGAGGATTAAACTGGACTAGATTTAGTCGCCCCCAATCCGAGACTTTGTTCAGCAAAGACTCGACTTCAGACACAAGTTTGTTCCGGTACTCAGCGACGTTTTCCCGAGAAATATTGGCACGGCCGGTATATAGAGCATCACCAGTGCTGTCATCCGCATAGCAATGAATGTTACCAGTTAGTAACATATCATTGATATGCAGAAGAAACAGCGTTGGCGATAGCACACAGCCTTGTGGAACACCAGCGTTAATAGGCTTGTAGTCAGAGCATGCACCGTCTACAACGACCTTGATGCTCCGATCTGCAAGGAAGCTGGTGATCCAATTGCACAATTTCTCGGGAATCCCATAGGAAGGGAGCTTCGAAAGAAGCGCTTTGTGCCAAACCCGATCGAAGGCCTTCGCAATGTCCAGACTAACGGCCAACGCCTCCCCCTTGGACTCTACTGTCTCCGCCCATCTATGGGTCAGGTAGACCAGAAGATCACCAGCTGATCGACCCCGACGAAAACCGTATTGGCGGTCACTAATCAGCTGGTGATCCTCAAGTTACCGGATGAGCTGGCAGTTAATAATGGATTCCATTATTTTGGAGAACAAGGAGGTGATCGCGATAGGCCTATAGTTGGATGGGTCTGAGCGGTCGCCTTTTTTAGGGATCGGGTGGACAAAAGCTGTCTTCCATGAATTCGGGACTACGCCTTGGGAGTAGGAGTACCGGAAAAGACGCGTTAGCACCGGTGCCAACTCCGGAGCACACGTCCTCAGCACAATTGGGGGGATTCCGTCAGGCCCACTCGACTTCTGGATGTCTGGGAGAGCAGTGCTTTGCGAACCGAGCGCTGTGAGAACAGCACATCCGGCATGGAGCACTCACACCGCGGGATGGTTGGCGGCGTTTTCCCCCCGTCATCAAGAGTCGAGTTGGACGCAAAAAGGGAGCCTAAAAGGTCGGCTTTGTCTTTTGCGTCTTGGGCCAGTGAGTCATCCTCCCTGTGCAGAGATGGTAGTGATGGCTTACAGAAATTCCCTTGGACAGCCTTGTCGAGAGACCAGAATGCACGGGTTCCCGAAGGAAGGCGAACTAGTTTCTCGCCAATTCTGCCTATGTGCTCTGACTTTGCCTTGGCAATAACTCTTTTGAAGGACCTGGAGGGGAAGTTATACTTCTTTTTAAGTGTGCTGGTATTTACATCCCGAGTCGCCGAAGCCGCAGCCCAGGCTTGATAACACTTCTGCTTACTGCGTAATGCAGTCTTACAGGAGCGACCAAACCAAGGCTGAGATCTGCCTCCGATGGGTACCACAGATGATGGAATAAATAGTTCCATTCCCTGTAGCACCACATCAGTGACAGAGTCAGCAACAGCGCTGGGATCATCCGGCGAGAAGCAAACCCGCCCCCATGGGTAGGATGCAAAGAAAGACCGCATTCCGTCCCAATCCGCCGACCTGTAATGCCAAACACGGCGGCAACCTGCAGAACGCAACCGCGAAGGGAGCGTGAGTGGCACCACACTCCGGATCAGACAATGGTCCGAAGAGCCGAAAGGGACATCGACGGAAACCTGATATCCGTCCGGATGAGAGGTCAGCAGAAGGTCCAACAGGGAAGGTGTATGATCCTCCACATCTGGAATCCGCGTAGGCGAAGTAACCAGTTGTGTCAGACCATATGCCAAGGCAAAGTCATAAACAGATCTCCCCGCATGATCGGTTAGACGTGAACCGAGCCATTCGGCATGGTGGGCGTTAAAATCGCCAAGGATCACTATCTCTGCGGATGAGACCTGTTGTAGCAAGGAATCTGTAGCCATTTGGACGTGGTCGATGAGTCCGTCTGTTTCGGTATTACCGCTATGGGACCTATAGAGGCACCCGTAGACGCGCGGATGGTCGTCACTGTCGACGCGTAGCCAAAGGATGGGCAGGTCCGAACCTTCAAGACTGCCGAGGCGTCGAGAACAGATGTCCTCTCTGACATACACGCAAACTCCAGCCCGAGGCACAAAGGAATGCTCCAATTTGTACCCCGGGTAGGAGAGATACGAAATATCAGCCGGAGAGGAAACCTGCGTCTCGGTCAGAAAGAGCATGGCCGGCTTCGCCATCTCGAGATGGTAGTGGACGGCGTTTACGTTAGAGTGAAGTCCCCTGATGTTGCAGAAATTCACGGATAGCGTGGCAGGGTCGCCTTGGTGTTCTTGCTCAGTTTACCCCTAGCAGTTATGCTTTTGAGTGGAATTTTGCCCCCCCCCCCCAGAATACGCGGGGCAGCCTGAGCACCCACGCTCAGGATCGGAATAACATGGTCGTGGATGCTCAGCGAGGGATTCTCCAGGGGTACTGGTACCCTCCTGGGGTAGTTCTTCTTGTAATTCCGCTACCATGTTGATGGGGGGGGAATTGGGCCTCCGGCCACCTGCACTCACAAGACTTTCTTGTAGTGATACTGTTTGGCTGTGGAAAGAGAAAAGGGGAGATTCGAGCCCTTTCCGATTTGCATTTTCTGTCGCATCTACCATGGGGAGTGCTCTGAGGAATTGTTCGGATTAATCCCAGCCGCCAAATTTCACGAACGCACATCGCGGCAGAACTCCCGATACCATCCACACCATCTGGATGATTGGCGGTCCACCACTGTGCGATTTAGAAGATGTTTTCTTCCTCGCACGACCTCCTTGTGGAATCGATTACCATCAGCGATTTTTCCGGACCGATACGACTTAGGGACCTTCAAGAAAAGAGCGTACTCCTTTTTAAAAGGCCGGCAACGCATCTGCGATTCCCCTGGTGTTGCAGTTGTTCATGGGCGGCGGTAGTCACTTACCATCAGGTGAGCCGCATGCTCGTTTGCCCCCTCTCCTATAAAAAAAAAAAAAAATCTCCTGCCGGGCAAGGTGTTCTGCCAACGCCGAGTGGTAGTTCGGAGCTGTTCTATATATATTATATATATATATATATATATATATATATATATATATATATATATATATATATATATATATATACTGTTTTTACTTCGGAACTTTGATAGCGCGATTTAGGTTCCGATTTGTTTTAGTTTGTGACGCGCGACGACAGCGCCACCACAACAGTATCCTTCTTTTGTTTTATAGGAAAATGTCGCTTCGCGGGCTATTGTTGTTATATTGAAGGTATTACTTTAATTTTACAAGAGTTACACTATCACTGGAAGATAATCCATTCATAGGATTCATTCTTTATAGCCCTTCATCAACTCTGTTTTGCCAGCACCGCAGAGTCAGGTATTCGCATTTAGAAAAAGCCAAAATTAGGTGATTTTTAGGTACTAATTAGGTGCCAAGTTTAAAAATTAGGTGCTCTAAAATTTTCACCGCAACGAACTGTTCAAATTATCGTTGCTGGCAAAACGTATCGCTAGCAACGCAGTGACGATATTAGATATACGATAAATATTTATAGCAAGGAATTAAGTGCTAATTAAGAGCTGCAAGTATAGGCAATGACATGGCAACCCTACTAAAAATAAAGCCGTTATTCAGAACAAAGCAGATGCAAAAATCAGGTCATCTGAATATCTTCTGAAAATGGTAAAACTATAGACATCCGTTACTTGCGTACGGGTGTGGGAAGGAAAATTAGGTGCTGCGGGAAGTGCAGCCTTTTCGCCCTTTCGTAGCAAATCACAGTAATTTGCATGAAATTTGCTAGGGGGAAGGGTAGGGGGACGTCCCCAGAATCCTTCCCTTCCCTCCACCCCCAATTCAAATTCCAATAAGACAGAGTTCCCTTCATCAACAACAGATCTACCGTTTAAGTGAGAAAATGCCACTGAGAAAATGGTACCAGCGTGGTAGTTTTATATTTTATATTTATTTTACAATTTTTAAATAATATATTATATATTTTATAATAATATATTTCTTTTACAACATAAATATCAATTGAGCTATAAAATAATCGTTCTTAACATGAAGCAAACAGCACAAATCGGTGATGCGAGAAAAACAACTTTCACGTAAGGTATGGAGAGATTTCGACTTACAGTACATCGAAACATATCACATTGATTTTGTTACATACATCCGGAATCTTTACATTA